GAAATGCATAGGTACAGTATAGGTGGTACCTTGCTCAACAGTAGTAGCTGTGAAAGGGATCTTGGAGTCCTAGTGGAGGACAACCATTTAAATATGAGCCAGCAGTGTGCAGCAGCTGCCAAAAAAGCCAACACAGTTCTAGGCTACATAAACAGAGGGATAGATAATGGGATGAGTTGATCTCACTGCTGAGATCAACAACCCAGAGTTTCTAAAGTTGAAACTCAGAGACCACTGTTTCTAATTTTTGTGACAGCAAAACAATTGTCTAGTTAGTCCCATCATAAATTGAGGTAGATTTCTAGTCTGTAATAAAGCCACTTTGGGAAAAGATGCTTTCTTTACTGAGCTTTAAAAACTTTTCTAATCACTGTCAGCAAACTTTTCTAACCACTGTAATTGGTATCAGAGCTGACTTATAAAAGTGCAAAAACTGGAAGAGGCTGCAGCTACTGAGCAATCAATGAAGCCTTCCAGTATCCTTATTAACACCTATAATAACATGAGGGACAGAGAAGGATATCTAAGGTGGCATTATGCAAGCATGGAACTGGTGATCTGCCAGTTGACTGTTTTATAAAAAAGGCAACTGGAGACCCAGGCCACATACAGACTCCAAACCTCTCATTTTATGCAGCCCATGGAGTCCCTTTTGACTGAAACTCCAGAAATCAGTTTGTCTTCTCTACCTACAAACATACAAAAACCTGATGTATGCATCCTAAAAAGAAGAAATTCAACTGAAGAAAAAAAAGGCAAATTCATCCTTAGGCTGTCATTTATTTCACTTAACCCAGAGTGGACTGTAAACATTGTAGTCTAACATGTGTAGAAGGTGCTGGGTTGCCCATTTCTGATCTAATTTTCTTCATCAGTATAAGGGAGTGATTGACGTTGTCAGATGTTGTGACAACAAATTATGACTTAAATCTGGTGGAACATAGGGAACTCCTTAAATCCAATACAGTTGTTAATCTCTGGCTTTGCTCTGAAATGTTATACATTTCATTTATTTATTTATTTTGTTTCTAATTCATTAAAAAAGTAGGACACGGTTTAGGGATATCTAAGTCTTGTTCTACTGTTTAATGCGATTTCTCCTTTTATTTTCACAGATTCCTCAGATAAGCTATGCTTCTACAGCCCCTGACCTGAGTGACAACAGTAGATATGACTTCTTTTCCCGCGTCGTCCCCTCTGATACTTACCAAGCCCAGGCTATGGTAGACATTGTTAAAGCATTCAAGTGGAATTATGTTTCAACTTTAGCTTCTGAAGGGAGCTATGGTGAAAGTGGAGTAGAAGCCTTCATTCAGAAATCCAGGGAGAATGGTATGTAAATTTATATCCTTATAAAGATGGGGTATAGGGATAATAGAACATCTTGACATAGATTAATGGAATTATCTTTAAATGCCAGACTTGGAAGTCACAGAATGTCATTACAAAGCTTCAGGATAATGTATCTACAGACACTGTGTTGAAAGTATTAATTGAATGAATAATTGGTTCCCATTAGATATATTGAATAAAAATGATAATGTATGAAGGAGACAAGGAAGTTATTATTATAAATTGGGTTGCTCAGAAGGATCTTTGGAAGTCTTATATTTATTGAAATGCAACAAAATTGCTGTCTTAAGGTATTTAAAATTGTGATAACCAACAGATCATCTAACAATTGGGTATATATTCTATTTCCTGTCATAATTCAGCTGGACATTGTCTATTGAATGGAAGTTTTCCTTTATGGGTACATACCGACTTTTAAAAACATTTTATTGCTATGCAAACAGAAAAGTGATTATATTAAAATGGTCATAATAACTACTTTATTTGGCTTTCTCTCATCCCCAACCAATGGCTGAGGCAATTTAAAAATCATTCTTAGTTGTTCCAAATTTACAACAAGGTTTCCCTCTTCACTGGTGTGTATCACTGATAATGCAGTTGATGAGATGGTTCTGGCCAGATACTACTGGTTACTTCAGGTTGGTGCAAACATACCCCTTCCCTTCTACTTGCTGGGCACTGCCCTCCTTAGCCAGTTTGACTTGGGTGGAAGAGACAGTGAACATTTGGATTTCTTAAAGGCATCTTATTCCATAAGATCTGACTAGTGCTTTTTAGGTCTTATGAAGGCTCTTTATAAATCTAGATTTGTTGTTTTTCTGCTCTACCCTATGACCTCCTCTGCACATGTAAAATGCCAACCATGTTATTTTGGGGCATGTGTGCCAGAAAACCAAATCCCACCAAAACTGGCAGAGTAAGCTACTGCATATAAACAAGGAGCAAAGTTGGCAGGCTTGCCACCCCCCCGAACTGGTTTCCTGGTTGCCACAGCGTGTCTTTTTGGCATTTTAAAATGTTTTGCCCCTATTTACAGACAACTACGCATGCGCACGCACTGAGCTGGCAGCAGAAACCTACCCCTGGAGCAAACCCCACACTTCCTAGTACTGAAGTTGTTACCTAATTGGGTTATGAAATGTCTGTAAGCAAACAATCAAGTTCAAAAAACACCAATGACTCCATAGTTCAATCCTGAGCTATGTATATTCTCTTCTAGTGTACACATTTTTCCATTTTATTCTTGTAAGGTGTCATTTTTAATTCCATATTCGAAACAACCTCAGTATCAATCTTGTTCTCTTCTATCATAGCTTTAAAATGCATTTTTAATGATGGCAGATAATCTTAAAAGTAATTTCTGAGTGCATTATTCCCAAATATCCATGAATTCTTCCAAAGTTAGAATACTTGCCTCCATTCTATATTAGTTAAATATTAATTATAATCTTTAATTCTTTTTGGTTCCCTCTAGTGTCCAACTTTCAAAGTTCTCTATTATCTTTTCCCCACTAATCAAAAAGATTTTCCCACAGGAAGGGTAGTTACACTTAGTTTCAAAATCTTCATATTTTTTTAAATAAAATTTAAACAATCCACAGGAAGTCTTCAAAATCTTATTACAAATCCATATGGACTCTTAATCCATTTATAACTTTATAACTTTCCAAAATCATTGAGTGGACAATCTTCAGGTCTTTTCCTTGTTCTGCAGAGGAATTCCAAGGAGCTGTTTTTTTTTGGGGGGGGGGGATGGATCCTTGTTCTACTGAAATAATTGACTGTATTCTCTATGGAGCTTTCTTCAGTCCACTTATTTGATCAAGGTTAAAATCTATGTGTTGTGGTTTCTGTTAGCTCTTATGGATTTTTCTTGATCAGAATTGGATCAGGCTTTAAAGTTTTGTAAGAGATAAGATATGAAAAGAAACGATCTTTTGTTGTATTTTTTAGAGAAAGTGATAAGCTATTATCTTAAAAGTAAAGAAATACAAAACTGGTTTATTTGATTGGTATACCAAACACACACACACACACACACACACACACACACACACACACACACACATATATATAGAGAGAAGGTGATAACTTATTGAAATTATATTTGTCATGATGAAACAAGAAAATATATCTTTATATATATATATTTTCTTTATTATTTCTTTTCTTTTTTTCTTTTTTCTCTGCATTTTTACTTTTTTATACTTTTATTAGTCTGCATTCATTTTTAATCTAGTCTTTTAATCTTTGCATATGTAAACATAAATAAATTTATTATAAAAACATAGCCTGCATAAGACAGAATTGTTATCCTATTTTTATTATCTCTATTCTTGAGTCTTTAAGAGCTGCTTAAGGACATGCATATTAGCAGGTAAAATTAATTTCTTACAGTATTTCTTTGCCAGAAACAGCTTAGTCTACTAAATTTCTGTAGGTCAGGTTGCCACTTAAAGCATCAGAAAAGGGCTGATACAAAAGATTGCAATTCAGCCATGGGACATTCTGCAGAATTGCTTTTCAGCTTCCAGAAATTCATTGACAAATGGGATATTTGTGTGTGTAGTTTGCTCCTCTCTCTCCATCTGCTATATTAATCAGAAGAGGTATATTTTCCAACTTTGTGCAAAAGCGTCTGTGTTTATATGTTTATACAGCACATCAAGCTTCTTGTAATTGCTTATTTTTAAGGACCACATAGTGTCCAAATGTTAGACATTGACAATACCCTGCAGATATAATCCTGCTATAAATCTTGCCTAAGCTCTTTTAATTGCATAGTCTAGGCTGGATTCATTATTGCAACTATTTGCAAAAGGCTAGTAGTTTGCAGAGCACTGCAGAGACATAGAGAATTATGCTAAAATTATGAATTATGCTATTACAAGATACTTGTAATATCAATGGGCAAGTATCCCAAGGTCAGCGGCTGAAACACAAAACCCATTGACCACCATTGAAACAGAGATAATATTATCGAATGGTACAATGTCTAATTTTTATGACTTTTTTTCCTGGGATTTAGGAACAATCTAAACCAATCTCATTTTCCATTGTTAAAAAATAATAATAATCTCCAGCTGACTATTTTGAGGAAATGAAAAGGTAGCAATGCGTAGATGTTCACAATAAGGCACAGTGATGGAAACATGGTCATATATGTGTGGTCATGTCACAATGCAAACCCCAACTATATATACTTGTTTCCTGACATCTGATGCAATGAGCATATGTCATGATGAATTGTTATCCTACAAAAGTCTACATGGAAATGAGAGTGCCTCCAAACTTCTACTTTCATTTTTGTATTTGGAAAAATCATTTTGCTGTCATCATACAATATAATAGCAAAGTTGGAAGGGACCTTGGAGGTCTTCTAGTCTAACCCCCTGCCTAGACAGGAAACCCTATACCGTTCCAGACAAATGGCTATCCAACATCTTCTTAAAGACTTCCAGTGTTGGTGCATTCACAACTTCTGGAGGCAAGCTGTTCCACTGATTGATTGTTCTAACTGTCAGGAAATTTCTCCTTAGTTCTAAGTTGCTTCTCTCCTTGATTAGTTTCCACCCATTGCTTCTTGTTCTACCCTCAGGTGCCTTGGATAATAGTTTGACTCCCTCTTCTTTGTGGCAACCCCTGAGATATTGGAATACTGCTATCATGTCTCCCCTAATCCTTCTTTTCATTAAACTAGACATACCCAGTTCCTGCAACCGTTCTTCATGTGTTTTAGTCATCTATGAATGTTAAGAGCCTCAAATAGGATTGGGGGAGCATTACTACCCCACCCCCAATCAAATCTGCTATCAAAATAATTAGCCTTTCTTAGGGAGGCATGAATGTACAAACCAATGAGTGTGTACATCCCAGCTCTTTGAACTTTATGGAATATTACGTTTACGGAATCAGCTACTTTGCCTCAGTAAGAAATATAAGGAAAGCATAAAATGCAGCAGACATGGGCTTCATCCTCTGTAGGACGTACATCCTGAACACATGATCAGGTTTTGGTTACTTGTGTGTATGTATATGTGTGTGTCTATGTGTGTGAGTATGTGTGTTTCTCTCCTCTTTCATTTATTTCTTTGACCAAAAATTTAATGCCAAAGGATAAATATTTATGTTTTAATTATTTATGGTGATGTTTAAATTAGCTATTGTCCTAACATAGGAACCTTTAACTGGGAACTTATAATTAAAAATCCTTTTTGAGGTGGTATAGAACTGCACATTCTTTTTTCTCAACCTATATTTGATTTTCTTTTGATCTTTCTTTCCTTTCCTTTTCTTCCCATTTCTGAATGTAAAGAGGAACTCTGGGTAGCGTACAATAAAGCATTGCAATATAAAACAGTATAAAATTTAAATGCTAAGTGGTAAAAATCTAACCCTAACCCTAACCTAATCCTTAATATAAATTGACAGATGACTTCTAGTGAAATTCATTAATTCCTGCTGTACAAACCGTATAAATTGTTACAATCCTCTACACTTCAAGAATCTTACAGAGGCTTTTTAAAAAATTTACTGTGGGAATGTACAACTTCTATTAGTTTCAGGACAATATACATATACATGGCATAGTAAGGGTGAAACTCCATAACTCATGTTTGTGAGGGTTTGAGGAGTAAAATGGGTCCTTAAACTGCAAACCTGAAGATACCCTATTCTCTAAGTCCTCAGCAAATTCTAAAATAAGCAAATATCCCACCCATCCCCTCCAAAGGAAAAAAATAAGGCCAAAAGTTAAGTCTCATCCAGAATGGTGGGATTGTGGAGGCTGCAGAAAAGATGCTAACAAGCCATGCTTTATACATTTCCATTATATTCCACTTTTCTATCCAACCAATGATGTATCATGGTAAAAGAAATCTGAGAAGAGTTCCAACTTAGTGTGAATGCTTACAGCTCCAGTAGATGGCACTTCAGTCTTTGTTGTTTAATTCATATAGTTTGTTTTGTGGGATGAACAA